ACAAAAAAAATCACTCTTTTTATTTTTGTACATTAAGTAATTAAAATTATTTCAATATAAAATGACCATTGCCACATTTATCTACAATTCTGCTGTTGGTGATTTCCTCCCTTCCTGGTACGTATGTCAACAGCTTGTCTTTTTCAACAGTATTTGTGGAGGCTGAAGCACAAAAATAGAATGAGTTTTGACCATTCCTCTTTTCTTTTCACAATGTCTCTTGTCCAAAGTCTATGACACTGACTATGATCTCTTCTTTACAGCAAAACCTTCAGGCTTTCTTTTGGATTCAGCACTGCTAACTGTCACGACCATGAGAGAGGATTTACTGTTTGCTCTTTGAACCATTTTTATCTTGATTATGCCATACAACCTCAAGCAATAACCCACTGTAAGATTCACAGATTGCCCATTTTCAGTTTTCTGGCAGATGCCCACAGTTATCTATTCAAAATATCCTTGTATTTAAAAGAGTTTATGATGCAAATCGGGTTACATTTCCCACATTACCACTCATTTTCACAAACATCTCAGGGCTCACTTCATATATATTGTGTACGTTGGTAATTGCTCATTACTGGATTAAATCAAACTTGATTCATTTGACTTTTACCAAAGACCATTGTCACACTTCTGTTAGCTAAATATAATTTTTCCTGCTAATCTGATAGACATCACCTCAGTGCATCACAGCAGCTGAGCTATCAGCTCAGACTCTACCTCAGGAACTCTTTTGAACTCTTTTATGTTTACTTATTATTTCATGTATCCTGTGTTAATTCCAGTAGCTTGTAGTGTTTGCATAGTTTATTACACATAATAATTCTGTGATAGGTATTAATATGGTCAATAAATAAAGCACCCTTTCTGTTTAAATTGTGGTAGTCTGCTATTATTTATACTTCAGTTACCGGTTTTCTAAAAAGAGTAGAGCCAACTTGAACAACTTGAATAGACAGAGACAAATATTTTCCTTGTGGTTAATGATTAATAACTCTGCTTGAAATTTAGACATCCAACGAATCCAGCCACAAAGGTAAGTGGTTAATAACACCTGGTAATTAAGCAAATTGTCAATTATAATCATTTAACTAAAGATCTTTGCTTGGTTTTACCCTTGATTAGAATAACATATTAATTAACTATAACCTCAGGTTCTAGTCATTGATATGAGAGGTAAAATTACAGAACACCTTTAGAATATTATTTTGGCACGTAGATACTGTAGAATATGAAGTTCATTATGGAAATTGCTGTATGCCAAAAAGTTGCAAGTGTTCTTTAGCTGTGAATTGTGAAGACTTAGCCTGGGTTTTCTCAGTTCCACTAGTTATAAAGAAAGTTTTTTTTTTGAATGCATGTACATATGAATACATTTTCCAATTACTATCCCCAAATTAGAAAATGCTGCAAGGCACACTAGCTCCACATAACAGAACTATAACGGACCTCTAGGGGGAGAGGATTATCAACTTGTATATGACCAAAACCATAGACAATAGTATGATTTAATGTTTATGGACTGGAAACTTTGCAAAAACATACTGGATGCTTGCCTAGATGACTCAGAGGTTTAATGTTATGCAAAATTACCTTAATAAACATTTTGTAACAATCATATGTGTCCTGAAGCCTGTTTATGAGATTCACAAATGAAAGAAAAAAAAAACCTTTCACTTCCATCATTACCTGTTCCACCTCTTAGCTAATGTGTGCTCAAAATACTCAGAAAATTATGTCCTTTATGATGTCATTAGGGGAAATAAGTTGTCCAGAGCAAAACAAAAACAATAATTTAATACATTGTAAAACATTTGGGTGCCATACACAGAAACACAGAGCAGTTGGGTATTCTTTTAGGGATTTCTATATGGCTGCAATGTCCTGATCCTGTCTCTCATTGGATTGTTATCTTCTGCTGACTTTTCCCATGAGATTGCAGAGAGTTATGCAGATAGTGTCCAGTTTAAGGTTCCTGAACCAAGGTCTGCATACCTTTTGCTCAGTGCTGAATTGGTTCAATGGGATCCAACTCTGCTTGATTCGGTTTCCAACCCTTCCAGTTGTTATGCCTGACAGTTTACCATAAAGTTACATTTGCATTTTAATTTTCTCCAGTCTGGTGGGGAGGCAAATACATCCTTCTGTTCATGGAAACTTTGTTGATGGGATTGTGCCAGATAATTCTATGTATAAACTTAAGCTTCCATTTGTTTGCACTGGGCTATCTCCTTAAACCAGGACAGTCTATAGACCGATTCCCCAAATCCCTTTAACTGGACAGCAGACAATGCTCTTGAACTGCTAAGCCTTATCTGGAGATCCCCAGGGCTGCTCCCCTAAATTGTCTCCTTTTTCTCCACCTTTGGTTCCAGATAACCTAAATTCATTCGGGCATAATCATTTCATCCAGTCTTCGCTAGAAGCTGGAACGGCTCATCGGTTTTCTAGAACTTTTTTGTTCTATTCTAGTTATTTGTATTTGTTCCAGTGTTTTATTTATTTATTTTTCACCATCCACTGTATTTCTTTGTTGTTGTTTTTTTCCATTCCCTGAGTCGCATCTGTGGTGCATTTGTTATCAGCACAACTGCTCCTTTTGTTTACTATTATTCTATGTATGTATATCGTTCTGGCTCCCTTGCATGAATCAAATACTCCTGATTTTATAGCTTTTGTTTGAGGTTATATTTTTGTCATAGTTTATGTTGGTTTGGGCTGTTAGATCATTCTTTTATGTTCACCCACTCTTTGTGGCGCTGTATTGTATACGAGTTGTTTTGACCAGCAAGTTCTAGACTACCATCTGCAGGTGTTCTTCTTGCTTTGCCTTGGCTGGTTTATATGGCAATTTAAACATAAAACACGACAGGTGTGGAATTTACTTTCCTGTTGTTTATTATATCAAGTTGCTGTTGCCTTTGTGTACTTTCTTTTTGTTTATTTATTTTTTTTCTAAAATGAGTAGTAGCAGTAATGAGCGCAGTGTGGATGGGTATGATGGTAGCCAAAGCAGAAAATTACCATCTTTAGAAATAAAATGCCTGACAAAAAAAACATTATAATCCATGCTGTTTTTTAGTTTTTGTCCTTTTCCAACCACAAACCTCAGTTGATACTTTGCTGAGATTTCATGTGACCAACCAAATGCTTGCCAAGTAAAAAGAAAGGAAATAAAAACAATACATCACTTTCAACTTTTTTATATTAGAAACTAAAAGGTGTCCATAGGTCCCTTTGACTCACATATTGCTTGCAATGCAGTATTTTAAAGTTTATATCTCTAATCTTTCCATACAAAAGAATTTTCTGCAGTTAAATTAGATGGTGATCACTTTGGAGTAATAAATCCACATTGTTTCTAAATTGGATTTAAGTTTAGACTTTTTTAAGATATAAATATACTTGGATCTCAGAGATTCCAGGTGTGGCTGTGAGCTTAGGATATTGTTGTTATTCTTCTGGAAATGTAACCTCTCAGCTTACATAAAGCATTTTCACAACATGACGGTGCTAACATAATGTATCTCCATGGGAATAGTGAGCTTGAGGTGATTATTATTAATCTTCCACAACCAAAAGTCGGACTGGGTTTCAATCAAAAATTTTCGATATGATACCAATCCCAATACCTATTTCAAATACTAGTTTTATAATATCAATTCCAGTAAAAGAAAATTACATTAAATATTAAAGTATAAATCTTGACTTTCATTTTTAAGTTAGATTTTACAATTCAAAGCACTTTTTTAACATAAAACTTATTTTCAGTGCAAAAGAGAACTTGCAAATACATGACAAGACAGTGGCTAATGCTCATTTTTACATATTGAAGACCTTTTTACTTACCTTTTTTTTCAAAAAGATTAACATGTCTGCTTTCTCAAGCAAGCCCACTCCTCGCTGATGGTGCCTCCAGCAGTAGAAAGTGGACGCTCTGAGGGTTTGGATGATGCTTTCACACAGATACACCTGATTGCCAAATTTGTGCACCTATTAAGTTGCAATAAAGCTAACAAAGGTAAACTTGCCTGTCGATGAGGCAAGTTTAAATTTCTCCGGTGGTGGAGATTTTGAATCACCCAGCTCCGGTTTTCTACTGCTTGTGGGCTGCTGAGAGGAGGATGGCTGAGCAACTTTCTGCTCTTAAATTGATCCTGTGCACAATTAGGTGCTATATCAAGTTAGTGGTGTCGCCAGCCTTAGCAACTGTGTCGTTTTTGCATACCGTATATTGCGTCGCGCACTCTTTGCATCAATCTTTCTAAAGTGATGCCACACTTTGGTGGCATATCTAAGAGGTTTTATGAGGCTACCAGCAAGTTCACAACAAAGTCATCAATCATCAAAACCGAAAGACGAGGCGTGTTTTGAAAATTTGCAATATTACAGCATTTTTGTCGGTACCATAAAAGAACCGAGGTACAGTACCCTCCCCAAATCAAAAGCACATGTAGCCCAAAAACATACATTCTACTTTAATTTTACCAGAATACCTTCCTGCACATGTTTAATGTTCCCCAATCTAACTTTCCGCAGTTACTTTTTTCTTTCCACTGTTTCATGAAGGCCAGTTTTAAAGAGTAAATGAAAATCGTCTGAATGACTGATTGTATCTTCTTGAGCTTTGCTATGTTGCAGCTTCTCTAAGGTTACCATATGCATCTTGATTGAAGGCTCTTCTCCCCTGGCCCGTCAGCTTTGGTAGACGGACATGTCATGGCTGCTTTCCGGTAATCATAATTTTATATACATTTCTGGGTTTTCAGGACAACAGCACATACCCTGCTTCAAACCTCTAAACCACTTTTTGGTCTTCATGAGGCTTTTCGTTGAGGTGGCATCTGGAAGTAACTCATTAAACTAGAAATCCTTTTGTGGTATCAGAATACAGAGGGCAAGAAAACACATGCCCATATGTATCTGATGTTTACGGTGAGCATATAGTTTAAAAGTAATAACTTTATATAATGAGTAAACTTGTATAATGTTTCCCCTACCATTGAAGCTGGCATTGCGTATGTACTTGAGCAGAGTCTTCCCATCTGTGGACTCCATTTGTGGACAAACGCCAGGATGATTGGGACATAAATCCTTGTGCATGTTGTGCAGAGCGTGGGCCATGGCATACACAGCGTCAATCACAAACTGCACCTTCCCTTCCTGCTCATACTTGGAGTCGATCCCAATCCTCTCCTGGCCTGTGGGAAGAAACAACAGTTTTTAACTGAATGTGCCGAAAAGCTGTTAAACTTTATGTTATATCAGCTCTGACAGCTTCTGTTTTTATCCGGCTCCTCATTAACGTTTTTTTTTCTGTTTGTTTTACTTTAGATTCTGAGGGAATTACAGCTAAAGGGGACAACGTGTTAGAGGAAATAAGAAGACGTGTTTAATTCCCCAGTGGGTTATATCAACTCTAAAGCAGAGCTGTGAGGGAGAAAAAAAGTGTTTGTGAAGAAATTCAGCATAGTCAGACTGAATTACTAGGCTGTGCTTCAAAGTAATAGGCAGGCAACAATGAAGCTCATTTGTCCCATCTGAAAGGAGATGAAGATCACCATGAACTTTAGTTACAGACTCAGCTACACTGGTTCCCTGCTTCTTTATATCCCCCTGTTCCTGCACTGCCCTTTTAAGATGGGCTGCTGTAAAGGTTTACCTCATTCTGCAGAATACCCAAACACAACCTCTTCTCTTGGTTTTTGTTGCAAGCTGAACTTTATTCTAAGAGATAAAAGCTACTTTTCAAAGGTTGCCCAAAAATTATAGTAACAAAAATATTCCCATTACATTTTATGGTTATCATTGTAATCTTCATTGTAATTATGATTTTCAGGCTCCCACTTATCAAAAGAATGCATCACCAAGAAAACAGAAAAAAAAAATTTATTTCTCAGAGGTAGATGTCTGCAGGAACTCAGTAATCATGTTAATAAGAAAAATGAAAGCATGTGGGAGACTTTTTCGAAAAGGGAATGAGCTCGTAAGCAATCTGCTCTGACATTTCAGTCCATTTCTTAGATCTTAACATACATCTCAGCCCACACATAACCTTTTTGATATTTCTAAGCTCCACATAAGGAGTTCAGAGAACAGTCTTGGAATTGAAAGGTCTCCTGGCAGAATTTTACATTCTAATGCTCTTGTGCCTGTCAATAAATTTGAATATCCCCCAAAATAATACTTAAAGTATTTCTTTAATTATATTCAATGACTAAATTCACAGGTTATATAAATTCATTAGATTATGACCTAACTCAAAATTCTGTTTCTTAGGAAATTAAATTATTGCATAAGACCAAAGAAATATGATTTTTAAAACATTGCCATGACATGATGAAGGGGTTTGACTCTACAGCTGCGTTTGCTGATAGTCCTCCACACATTTTTAAGGCTACAAGTAAATCAAATAAGGTCATTGTTAAGAATTTGTCTGTTCGCAAACAATTTATAGAAAAGTTATTCGGAAAGTAAAACTGTACTAGCAGAAGATTCCCAAGGATAACCTTAAGAAGGTTGTGAAACAAAGCCTATTCTAAAGTTAATTTAAAGGACATAAAAATGCCTTTAATTATTTATCTTTCCTAGTTAAATCATTTAGTTTTCAGGGCCTTTTCCTCTGACTTTTCAACAAGCATTCTTGGGAGTCATTTTGTTGCAGTTTTGAAATTAGGCACTTCACACCCCTCCAGGTACGTCTCTGTCCATATTTCTCATTTGTAGAGGTACGATTACCCAGCAGTGCAGAAATTATTACCAAAATATATTAAAAAACCTCACTAACAGAATAGGTTTAAATTCAGCCTTACATGTTCAAGCTAAAAACTGATCCAGAGTGTGCTTAATATCAAAGAAATATATAATCTTGTAAATGGTTTTAATCCTGTGAGCAACATGAAATTTTAAATTCTTAAATAATAGCAGTGAAGACCTAAGCAATTCACAGCAGGTAACATAAACGGTAAAAATAAATAGTTACTGACAGTATTTGATCAAACTTCATGTCAGATACCTTTTGAAATATAAATGCTTCCATGATATGAATGAACACAAATGTCCAAGACACTTTCAAGAATGCCCATTTTCTCTCCAAATTGTTCTTATTTTTCATTATGTGTGTGTGTGCTATATTCTCAATCTGAACAGAGTGTTTTTACAGAAATGTCACTATGTCACTATTCTTGAACATGTATTGTGTGCATGACCCCAACAAAACTAACAAGTTGGCCAAAGGTAGCATCAAGAATATCACTGACTGCATTTAGATCACGTTATACAAGATTTAAAAAGATGACTAAACAGACTGTAAAACTGTTTGTGTAATATTGCTATACTGTGAGGTTGTGTCCTTAACAAACTTAAAACATGCCAAGGTAACATAAGCTATTAACATTATAGCGAGAGAGTTATATCGACATGTCTATTATAACACTTGTTGGTTGGCTTTTTTTCATCTTCCGCAAAATACCGCTATGTTATGTCTGTTGTTACTGTGAACAGAAGGAACTGACCCTTCTTTATACTAACCGAGGTTGCTGAGGCACTCATCCCCTTAAGTGCTACACATAAACAGAGGAGTTTCTGCACTGATGTTGGTATTTTCTATGGAAACATTTATTTAAACTGGAACTTTGAAGAAGTTCTGATACCGTGGGATGGCGTACTGACTTGTTTGTCTTAATACACCCAACAGCCAAACATATAAATTTATCTGTTTGTTGCCTTAGGATCCTTTATAATGAATTACAAAAATACTGCATGAAATAACAGATCCACTAGGTTGGTCAGCTGGAGGTCTATGATATTGTTTAGAAGTTCAACTGCAAATATTTTGATGTATTTGAAAAAGAAATTTAACAGAGAATAAGAGAACTGAACTACAGAGGGATCACACTTCTCAGCCTCCTCAAAGCCTTTGCTAGAGTGGGTTCCAGGCACATCCCACCGGAAGGAGGCCAAGCGGACAGCGCAGGACACCCTGGAGAGATTATGTCTCTTGACTGGCCTGGGAAAATGTCGAGACTCTCCGAGGTGTCTCGGGAGAGGGAATTGTGGGAGCCTTTGTTAAAATGACTGACAAAGCCAGACAAAGCAGAAGACTATGAGTACGATGATGTGACAAGTATGAGAACTAAGTCTTTGGAAAATGGATTTTGCATGATAAACAATACTGTGGGATTGTGCAAGGAATTGCATTTGATGAATTGGGTTAATACGCCATGGAACACAACATTTAGATTTATTTGTTTGGTGCCTTGGCATTATTTAACATGAACTACAAAAGTACTGTGCAAAAAAATTGAAGTTTTATTGGACCGGTTAGAAAGAAGTCAATGAACTTGTTTTAAAATTCCAAAGCAAATGCTATAAATACTGTGATTTAATTAAAAAAAAATAAAAAATGTTATAAAGAGAAGAGAGAACTGAACAGACTCAAAAAAATGACCTAAACAGCATCTAACAATATCAACACAAGATTTTAAGACGGAATTAAACCTTTCTTGACTTTTACTGGCTCCATATACAGTACACAAAAAAGAAAATACATTTACCAGCTAATACAATTTATTTTGCTTGAGATGACCTCTTTAAAATATTTTAAAGAAATGTACCAAAGATAAATGATTACTTAGTTATTGCTTTAACAGCCTCCACAAGGATATATTTAGGATATGTATTCAAACTATTGCTTTTTTTATATTAAGCCACTCCTACACCAGAAGAAATGTCGGAAGCATCTTGCCTAGGCTATGGGTTACTGGGGTATTATGAAGTGGACCAATGTCCTCTTTTCAGATGAAATTGTGTTGTGCATTTCATTTGAAAAAGTTCCGCAGTCTGACGGAAGAGTTAAAAGGAACCGAAGAAGGAAATTAAGCAGCTGGTGAGCTTGTGTAAATACAACAGCCTGAACGTGGAGCAGACGAAAGAGATCATCGTCGACTTCCGGAAGAATCAGCAGCACCAAATTCCTGAGGGTGCACAACCCAGACAACCTCACCTGGACAGTAAACACCACCTCACTGGTCAAAATCAGACTGTTAAACGGTTGAAACTCTAATCAAGACACAAATAAAGACTCTGCATCACACTTGTAAACATCGCATTTGCACTGCATGGTTTAAGATGGTACGTGTATAAGATTTTCAAATCCCTTTAAATAGAACTCAGCTCAATGTTCCTACTGCATTTGCACCATGTTCATTTCACTTTTGTAAGCTGCCTCTTCAGTGTTGAAAAGCTATATGCATTGAAATTTCATTTTGTATACACGCTGTGTATACAAAGTTATCGTCAGTTTGTAATAAAGTCTGTCCTAGTCTAAGTCAAGCTACTGAGAGTCCAAAGAAAGGTTTCCATCCTCAGTGAAGATTTAATGGTTTTTGTCATCCGAGGTTTTGGTCTAAAGTGTTTTCTTAAGATCAAAGTCAGCATTGGCCAGGACATTTTTAGCTCAATCAATGTTATTTTTCTCTGCTGGTGAATTTTATGAAGATATTGTTTTGCACGTGGTTCCCTGAAGAGGAAGAAGCAGGAGACCAGACAACAAAGATGAGCTGTAGAGCCCAAGCTTAAGCATCTTGGGCCCAGCAGAACCACAGGTTAGTTACCTCACTAACTGTTCTACACTAGTCAAAAAGTCAAAAATTGATTACATATACTCTAGATCAACATACCTGCTGCAAGGTCAACATTTTTGTATTAAAAGGATATTATTAGTTTTATCAAACATCCAACTTTTTTGAGAAACTCTGAGATCTAAAGTATACAAAATCCTTTTTTATTTGAATTAATTAAAACTAAAACTATTCCGATTCACTAAGAAGCACATTTATCAGCTTGGCAAGGGGTCTAAAACAAATTAAAAATTGCAACATAGTTGCTGTACTTTTTAGGTTAGAGTGAGAAAAAATAAATGTGTTTTGCTGTCACTTTGCAAGAAGGCCCCTTAGAGCAAGTGGAGGAGCATCTTTTGTCTTTGACACATGATGAAATTTCCCGTACAGGGGATTTCAAAGGAAACAAAATCCCTCAGCAAACTGTAATTTGTGTCAAAGCGCTATTGCCGTCATCAGGTATGGAGGGAAGATTAATACAGCAACCCACATTCCCCGGCCATCATGCGCGTGGATAATTCATGCAGTGAAATGCCTGTCACACTATTGGCAGGCTCAGTTTAGGTAACATGAGAATACATCACCACTGGAAACAATACTATCATTAATAAATCACCAAGATGCTGCAGTAGCAGAATGGGCTTCTAAAGAGAATTAATTCAGCTTTGGGAAGATTTTTCTGTAATTTCAATATTAAATAAAATATAGTCTGGCTCTTTGTACCAAGATAAAGGGAGAAAGAGAGATACAAAACCTAGGAGCAGATGGTCTGCTAGAGCAGTATGACGAATGCATGTAGAGCATTAATTATTCTAATAATACAATTTATCTGTCCAGCACCCACCAGGTCCCACACCTGGTGTTAGACAAGGTGTTTAAAATCAAACCAAAAAAAGGCTCCACTGCCTGTGGCTTTTATTGTGAAATATGCACATAATCTTCAAGCCTTATTTCAATAATTGCTTAATGCCTCTATACACATTTACCTGTGCATTTGCGGCTGCTGTCCTCTCTCTTTGAACCACTGAGCAGTCGGCAGTCAAAGTTTTCCTCCCAAAACTCTGCAAACCACACGTTCCTGCGATTGTTCTCCAGGGTGAGACCCATAAAGTATTCATCAAATCCTAGGACATAGGAAAAAGAGAAGAGCTCAGTTCCGGACCCATTATCAGTCCTGCAGGAAATAATGTCACAGACGTGATTGTAGTAATGGTGAACAGCTTGCCGCGAGGTTTTGGAGAAAGACATGCAAGCACTTCTTCATCACATTTTGACCATGGTGGATCCTCTTCCACTAAAGCACCACAGAAATTTAATTGCAACTTTCATCTAGGAAATGACATTAATTAAAAAACAGGATACATTATAAATAACGCAGGCTTTCTTTGTGGCACAGCAGCCCAATGCCTGAAGCTGGGAGGTGCTGGAGGTGTTGCATTGGGGATGCTGGAGGTACTACTTTGTAAAATTTTCTTGAACAGACACTTTTTTGTTGTGAAATTAAGCCAGTGTGTGTCAGCAAATAGTTTTGAGACAAAACTTTATGCATAGAAGTGTTTAATGTGTTTTTGTTCATAATATACTGCAAAACCAACAGTTTTCAGAGCAAAAAGTAATATTTTTTTCCCTTTCATCTAGTCAAGCCACATGGGTTAAGGTGATGGAGGCTTAATTAGGCTGAATAATTTTGCTGATGTTAATTCAAATGATGCAGAATAATTTTACTGATGTTAATTTCAATAGGCTGTCAGTGATGCAGGGCGATAACTAACATCCCCTATGCCTACATAGTGTACATTCTCTCATTTTACATTTAGCAAGACATCTAATGAACTAATGCTTCCTAGGTATTATGCTCCCCTTAATACTTACAATTGTGTGTATGGATAATGACACAGACTGGAGGCTAGGCATGTTCCATTTATGATTTCAATTTAAAATAATCTGTAAAAGTACAGATCTATGCTGGAAAGTGCAGTATGAAATCCTAAAATATAAAAATAAACAAAATTAAAGCTTTTAAAGACTTATCATTGACCTGTTTTTACATTATTATGCAAACACAAGTATCTCTTTCTAAAAAAACTAAAATCAGTTCTTCAAACTAAGCCATTTAAATGATCTGGCTTTAGCATGTGATATGAGAAAGAGGAGCTTTTCTCTTTCAAAGTGGTTTTCAGTCTTATCACTTTAAACCCATCAAGGTTATAATTTCTCTCTAAGGACTGTTGAAAGTCAGGGGGAGAATCTTTTACAAATTGCCTGCTTAAGCAGTATCACGTGCAGCAGCAAGTGTGGAACTCAGTCAAAAAAAATAGTTAATAAGTGATGTTTTTTTCATCTACACAATCTGCTTAAAGGGTCAAAATTGTGTTTTAGAAGCGGCATAGATCAATGTTTTACCACTAGAAAGTCTTGCCAATTTAGTGTGGTAGCTCATAGCAGGAATACACACCATTAGAGCAGATACACCTTTCTGACTTCAATTATTATCAGTGACTTTTTCTGAGCTTTTTGAAATGTCTTTATACAAACCTTTAAATTAGAATTGGGGCGCTTAACATTACCATTTAAATGTAAAAGTGATCTTAAGAAGATTTTATCCAATTGTCAAAAGCAGAACTAAGAGGAACTCTTTTTCTTCAAACAATCTAAATAGCTAAGTTTCTGTAATGTAAAATGTTTTGACTGCTCATAGTTTGTTAAAAAGAAAAAGCCAAACATTGTATCAAAGCTTTTATTTTGCTTTTACTTGATTTATAAAAAAAAATTCTAAACAATTATTCTTTATCAATGCAACAATTCTAAAAATATACATTTTATTACCAAGGATCTATTTCTTAATTAATTAATGTATCAGTGCAGATTATTTCCCTAATGATATTTAAATAATTGTACTCATTATACTACAAAAAAGAAGGGTACAATTTGCTTGTTTAATTACCTATTCTCCTTGTCAATAATGCATGCATGCATGCCTGCCTGCCTGCCTGTATGTATCCATGCGTGTATGCAGGCATGTATGCATGCATGCATGCATGGGTTGTGGGTTTAAAGCTAATTACTCTGTAAGATTTCAACCCAAAATGGTTCACAATGATATATTTTAAATGTTAGTATGGCCATAGTCTTGGGCTGTGAGTGAGGTGGTGGTTTTGGAGGTTAGCTCTGGTTAACAGTAGTAATCTCAGATATGTAGGATACTGCTCACAGTCCAGAGTGGCAATTCTTATGTTCTCTGATTCTTTAAAGAAAATTTGTTTAGGAAGTCTATTTTTTAGTTGCATATCCAGTTATTTGTGTAGTGCTGGCTAAAGTTTTGCAGCATATAGTGCCGTGTAAACACTAGAGTTGTGTTCCTCACTCAGATTTACTGAAATTATTTCTTGGTGTCTGAAGCATTTTAGGTGATTAAATCAAAAATACAATTGCAAATGGGCTAAGAATTAACAAAAAAAATTATTGACTTACAGTATCTAACTACAAGTTTAGCAACCACTCACATCTTATTAGTTAAAGCTACAGTGTGTAACTTTTAGCGACATCTAGCGGTCAGACTGCAGACTGCAGCAACATGAACATCTCCCCCCCACCGCTTCTCCCCCCCAACAGTACGGCGAGCGTTACGGGACAAAATGTCTTCCACGACGTCCGCATCACCTACCTTCTCAAGTGATGAGGTTTGTTTACATAGATAATTTTACAGATAGTATTTCATTAGTCTGTGTAGGGTATAGATTTCATGTAGACTTAAGATAATAAATATACCCGTTATTTTTTCTACATCGTTGTGACGTTTTGGCGATCTCGCAATCGCTAGTTTGTTGGCTCTGCGCTGGCGTAGCGCAAAGATGTCTGCCTCCATGGCTGCGAGACCCGCTCCTATGTAATTATAAATAACGAATCCTAAGGCAACGCAAATATTAAGGTTAAGAGGCTGAGCTCGTAGATGATGATAAATAACATAGTTACGTATAATATATTACATTTCTGACTGTATATCCCTGTAATTATTTCACACTGTAGCTTTAATAATATAATATTATTTGTTGTAATTTTGGTGAAGGAAAAGATAAAAAATATTTGAACTTGTGGCATTTAGCAAAAATATTCAATTCTCAATTCCAAAAAAAAAAAAAATAGCCTGATTTGATACCAAACACTGTTAATCTTATATCACTTTTTATACAGTATATGTGAATATCATCTTTCATTTCTGGATCATAGCTATTCAAGGTTGGAATGACAAATGACAGCCTGCACTTGTTTGGGAAAACTGCTAAGCAGTTAAAATGCAAATGCTATTTTAACTGAGCAAAGACGAAGTCTGTGTGAACTTAAGTTATTAAGGAAACTGTCAAGAAGTTGACATTATTATATAGATTAACATTATTATCATTTCTTGCTTTATTACGTGGGAGAGGTTTTCTGATGCTTGATCAGTTCATTTAAAGTCGAAAAGGCAGTCTGTGAAGATGAGTCATTCCTATCTCCATCCTACTAAACTGGGTTCCAGTTCCTCACCAAGTGTTTGGTGAATTTTCCTAAACATCTTTACCAAAAAGGATTTCCCTACCATATGTGTTAAAGAGAGAACCCTCAAGTTTAGCAGAGTGTAGAAGAAAAATGTGAAAGACATAGATTCAAACAAATTATAGTGCAGCCTGTGGTGTTTATGATGCAGAAACCTTCAATGGAGGAGCGTTTGGGCAGTATTGTGACTGCTCCCACTGCTATATCTTCTAGCTGATGGATAGGGCTGCCCTTGGACCCCCAGCTGTCAGAGCCAATCCACACGAAATGGCCCACCTCGTTGGCCCTCTTAGTGGCGTTGAGAACTCCTCTGCAACGACATCCGTATGATTATTAGAAGAGGGAAAAAGGGAGTGAGAAAGGTGTGCAGTTCTGTAGTTATCAAACTAAGGCACAGCTAGCCTTAAGCAGCTCTTTGGATAGAAAAGGTCTCTCATGAGGTTTTTCTCATTAGAGAATGTACCAAACGAAGGTTATTACTGTTCGTATTTTGAGCTGTGTTCCGGGAAAGAAGAGATGGTAATATTTAAATAAAACAGAGCATGTCTGCAGGCAGACATGCTTATTTTGTTATCATTTTCACTTCACTTCTGGATTCTTTATTCAAAATGTTCATGTGCTAAAGGTTGATTCTGTGCCTCACTATACAAACATTGCTGAGGGGGCATTGTAAATCAAACAATAACTCTTTTACTTTGTTCCAACCTGAATTCCCTACTTCTCCTCTGAGCAATGCTTGTATTGTTGTAGGTATGTTTGTGCAGTCAGCATGGGCTCTTGTTAAAATTGCATTTCTAGCTTGTTTAATTTTTTCAGAACCTGCTGCTTGGAGATTACAAGATCCCAATAAGAAAAAAAGTGGCACGTCAGAAGCAACATGTATGAATCCAGATTGCGCCACTGCGCTCCTCACCGTATGTCTTCTTCACTGGCGAAGATGATGATTGCCCGTGCATTGCGCGTTTCCAGCAACTGTTGGATGGTTTTGTCGTAATCCTCCGTCTTTGGGTTGTGGGGAATTTTCAAAGATTGGGCTATGCAGATTCCACCTTAATAATGGGAAAGAAGGAACAAATGATAAGGCCTCACCCATTCACTTCAAGCACAGTCTCTCACATCCTCGGGTCACAAAAGCGGGCATTTTTCTAATGGAAATTTCTTAAATATGGATGCGAAAAAACAAGTCTAAACATAAAAGAAGGGCTTTGCTAAAGCTGATCTGTCTTCTATAGAGTCTAAACGATATCCTTACAGCGTATACATTTACATTTTGGCAACGATCTGCAAACCACAGCAGCCTGAAGTCTAATACTTACTGTATGGTGAACCTTCCTGCTGAGTGCCGGCATCATTTCACAGACAGAGACAGTAACAAACACATCTGCTATCACAAATCCAATAATCCACACCCAGTGGGACGCAAAGCTACAGATTTAATATTATGGATTTGAGAAGAAAACACCAGCTCGACATTGAATTTTCATTTTGCGTCATTATCAAACATCTCTTGCTGAAACCTGAACTGATCTGATAGCACAGCTGGCAGTAGCAAACAAAGAGGATATTAATACAGACAATAAATCACTCTCAGACAGGTCATCTCTGATGAGCTTGTACAGGATGGAGAGCGCTGATTGCCACACGCCGCTCTCAATGGCTTACATATTTCCACATTTTGCTTTAAGCAGATTATTAGATATTGTGTTATTTGACAGCTCAATATGGGGTAGGGGAGCGAAATTCTGTCTTTCACTAAAATAACCTGAAACAGGCTTTTCCTCCCATGTGATGTTGTAATTATATGTGCGGAGGACGTGCTAACCTTTTGAGCACTAGAGATAAACAGATAATATGATAACCTGTGCAGGAGGACATTCTAACTCCTGCAAGCCTACACTGAAGCAGCAGCTTGTGTCCCGAGTCAACAGGAAAGCTTTACCCAAACCAATTAAATTTCTCCCACTCAAGCATTTTAATAGTCTACCCAATAACCTCTCAGTTTGAGTTTCCCTGAATAGACAGAGATATGGAAGGGATCTCCTAATTGCCACTCTCCTCAGGCTCATTACTTTGATATAAACAGCTTTTAGCTGGCAGATCACACACCTACAGTCACGAATTTTCCATGGCATTTCTTAAGGCAAAGAAAGAAAAATGATAACTGTTGAACCTCTTCATAGATATGTGTTTTTCTAGCATCAGCAGGCAAAGCTGTTTTTTTCTTTTGATGTAAGAAAAGACACCACAAGTGTCAAAAGGCTTCTCAGATGGCTGCTGTTATCCAGCTGGAATGGACTAAACATAAAAATGGATGACCTGCCGGTGGCAAAGCCGTTGCTTAAGGGTTTGTTGTAACTCCTTATGAGGAAAATGGGCACTGTATAATTTGTACAGAGATAGCCAGGCTGCAGGTCTCTAAGGATGAAAACTAAAGCTCCTTTTCAGCTCAGAGAGTTCAGATAATTTTAGCCAGAGTTCACGCTGTATGAAACTGCTCTTCCAGGTTTCTGTTTTCCGAGCCATGTGATGAATTAATACAGCTGGGTGCAGACCAGGAAGCAGAGTGCTAGTTGAACACACCTCTCTGCAGCTTCTCTAATGTCACCCACTCACTACTCCATCCAGACAGCGTCTTCCTTACAAGAAATCAAATAAACTAGAGCACAAACCCAAAGGAGTAAAAGATTAAAATGACTACAATTGGGGGAAAAATTTAATCTGTTTGTTTTTGTTTATCTATTTCTTCAAAAAGTCGGTGTGAATGACTTTATTTGTGATAATCACATTGATTCATCCTGTCTTAAGCCGGGCAAACACTGTACAATATTTTTACCCTTTTCCGGCCGATTCTCCTGTCGTGATAGAATTTTTCGATCGGGCCAACTTTCACCCTGATTGTGTGTCGTGCATCATGTGGTGTACAGGGGGTGACGAGGGCTGATCAGTCACTCACGACCAACCCCTGATCAGGAATCGTAACGTCGGGAGAAAATCAAACATATTTGAAATTCAGACCACCTTACGACAACGGTCGTAAGGTGGGCATGCACAAACAAGTATTCTTCTTCTTCCTCCTAACAGACCAACATTAGGTAATGAGGTTGTACGTTTGAAAGAATCTGCTCCACTTATCACCTCTGTATCAATGAACAATACTGCAGAGGGCAACCATTTCATTCATTCCCCTTCACAAATTGATGATCTTGTCGATGGGGTTACTAGTTTCCTGTGTACTGCCTTAGACAACATGGCCCCCTTTGAAAAATAAAAACTGGTTTAATGTAGATTTGCATACTTTGAAGCAAAATACCAGAAACTGGAGAGAAAATGGAACTCTACATGCTTATGGGAATCCTAACTAGTCTGTAAAAACAGTCTATTCCAGGATAAAATGACCCTTCATAAAGCAAGAGCATCATATTTCTCCTTATTATTAGATGGATAATAAGAATAATCCTAGATCTCTTTTTAATACAGTTGCCAAACTCACACAGAGCCATACCTCTTTTAAACCGTCTATCCTACCAGTTATGATTTTATGAGATTCTTTTTCAATAAGATTGATTCTATTAAAAATAAGATCATTGGTCCCCTCTAAATAAAATTGGCTTATCTCTGGAAGGTGAGGCAGCATTGAGGTACCTACAGTAGAGGATCTGTTTTGATTCAGTTGAACTTTCAGAGTTAGCAAAACTGTTATCTTCATCTAAACCTTCAACTTGTATGTTAGATCCAGTTCAAAACAAGTTATTTAGGGAAGTATTACCCCAGATTTCCACCACCTTTTTAGATGTGATTAACCTATCCCTGTTACATTAATTAATTAATTAAACCTTTACTTAAGAGGCTGTCTCCTCACTCAGATGACGTGATCAATTATACTCTCTAAGAAATGCTGGGTTGTTTTTTTAACCCAACAGTTAGGTTGAGCCTGCTGGATAATTTAACTGGGTTATTTTCATTAAATTGAGTATTCTGAGAACCTAATTCACTAGGTTAATTCTCATGGGCTTAGAGTTATGAACTGTTGGTTTGTAGTTTCTATGATGTTGTGTTGGTTTATATGCTGGAGGTTTCTTCCTGTTAAAAGGGAGTTTCCTCTGCAAGAATGCTTGGTGTGAAGGATTGCTGTCGACAGAGATGGGAAGTAACAAAGTACAAATACTTCGTTACTGTACTCAAGTAGTTTTTTCTGATATTTTTACTTTACTTAACTACTTATTTTTATGGCGACTTTTTACTTCTACTCCTTACATTTTTACACAAATATCTGTACTTTCTACACCTTACATTTAAAAAAAAATTGGCTCGTTACTTTAGTTTTGAATCATTTCAATGGAGTTACCGTTATTTTTCACGTCATCAATACCAAATTCAATCTAATTGGATGGGAATCTACGTTGCATTTGACGCACCACTACAAGATGAATCGACAGATTCGGCGGTATTCATTCGCGGCAAATCATTGCAGCTTGGTGGCGTTAGCATACTAGTATGAACGACGAGATGATTGAAAATGAACACAATGGAGATCTAGTCCTATTGGCAGACATCCATCTAAAATGTAGGCAACGCCATGAAAAAGTGGTTTCTACTTTTACTTTTATACTTTAAGTAAATTTACAAGCCTGTACTTTATTACTTTTACTTGAGTAAAGAAGTATGGTCTGGTGGAATTGTCTCTGTAAAGGGCTTTAAGATGATATGTGCTGTGAATTGGCACTTTATGAATAGACTGAATTAAATTTAACTTTAACAGCACCTACCATTTCTTTACTGTTTCCCCTCTATTTGCAAGTCCTTTACATTAACTCCAAAATGACTTAGAAAAAACGAGTATTGTGTAAACAGGACCTTACAGACATATTTACATCTGTCCCATTTTGTGATATTTTATCCCATTTTTTTAACACACTTCAATGTTTGGTTGTGGAAATTTTATGTGATGGATGAACATCAAAGTAGAGCATAGCTGTAATGTTGAGGGAAAATTGTACCTGGTTTAAAAGATCTTTTTAAAACAGAAAGAAAATGCAAATACGATTGACCAAATAGTGTCTTTAAATGTAAATTTTTAAGTTTTGCCACAGATTATCAATAGGATATGAACTTTGACTGGATTACTATGAACTCTATTGATCTTGTGAAAAATCTATTGATGCTGACAGTGGCATATTTAAATGTGGGGATGACATTTTGAATCTGCAAAAAAAAGATAAGGTTTTGTTTTACCTAAGCATATCCTCGTTCTCTACTGCATGGCTGTTTTCAAACAACAAACAGAGCTGCTGTTTTTTTCACCAATGTTCTCTTTTTTCTTTTCACACTTTCATAGAAAATGTAACATCGAGTCTACGTCTAATACTTTCATTGTGAACAGAATCACCAAGCTGAGCTGTGGATCTGAACAGGTTCTCCAGGGTTAACTTGGTTGTTCCTCTGTTGATCCACTTAAACCCTGTTTTAATGGTTTTGAAGTCTTCTCTTCCTTTTTAGATGATAGGTTAACATTTCTATTTTTTTTTTTATTTGAACAACTCAAAATGCATTGAAGCTTTAACAATCATTGATGGATTTTTAAATCCTAACCCTGCTTTAGAATTCTCCACAACTTTTTCCTGACCTACTGCTGCAAAGCTGCTGTGAAGCATTTGGTTTTAGTTCTTCTTGATACTGTCTATTTCACAATATTCTCTAACAAACTCTCTTAACAAACCCAAGGCCTTCACAGAGCAGCTGTGATAGAATACATGCAGTTTGACTAACTGGGTCTGTTTGTTGATCTGGATTTTATTTAGCAGGATCAGAGTAAATGGGATGATTGCTAATGTAAACCCAACCTTTTAGATTTTTCTCAGTAATGATTTCGCGTTTTCTTTTTAATCGTTCAACTAAGCAATAATTTTTTTCACAATATGAAAATCTATTACATTAAATACCAATTTATACATTGCAGATTGTGGTTTTAAAATGGTTATAAATTCCACAGCAAAGCACTTTCAATATGTCCAGTTCGATGTAGTATTATGGAAATACATTCTGACTAAAC